GAAGCCACTAGATGGCAGCAGAGGATAAGAAATTCACCATCAAAGAGGATGCGGTCAGCGTACACGAAGGTGGAGACTAGGAGGAGAGTAGGTAGAATGCCCACCTGAAGGGTGGGGTCTGAGGTGAATATAAGGCGATGTTCACTGACTGCGTATTCAGTTCCAGAGACGTTTTAGGCATTTTTGACAAAGTTTCTTAAAGTGGGGAGGGTTAGGAACAGGCCTTCAGCTGGCCTAGCCCGGCCTTTTCTTACCATACTTTAACGACTTCAGAGTTTTGCTGTTCAGTCTAAGCCCATTGACTATTAAAAGTATACAAACTGTGAGATTTTGTGAAACGGCGTGCCCGTGGCGTGGCATCCGATGATGATTCACCATAAAACAGGAGGTTGTTGTAACTTCAGTCTACATCAGCGGTCGGCAACAGGCCCACCAGCAATAACATCTGGCCAGATTGCTTTGATAACAGAAAACTAAAAAAACACTAAAAAAAGCAGAAAACTAAAACATGAATAAATTGATAGCAGCTGGTGCTGAAGTAAATCTCAGTCATGACAACAATAATTACTCACATAATCACTTCCTCTTAAGTAATTGTGCTACAAAATAAATTTTTTTTTTTGCAGCAATGCTTTATGTTTATTGAAAGCTTTTACTTTGAAAAGCTCTGAAGGACATTTGAAAGAATCTCTGGCTTGCTTGACACATCTCTGGAAAAGCCGTCAGTAAACGTATGATTGGATTCCCAGAATTTCCTCAGGGAAATGAAAATAAGCGTCCATAGGGTTTATGAATGCAGATCAAACGCTGAGATGCACACAAACTATAGAACATGCTTTATTGTGAGCATGTGCAAAAGTTTCCTTTGTGTATAATGTAGTAAGAGTTAGGCTAATCAATTTGTTTAACAAGGGAGAAAAAAAAGTCGCTGGATTTTGGGATTGCTCACCCAATTCCCTACCGACTGAGCTAAAGTGGACATGAGTAGGCTATCCAAGGATTTGAAATAATTTAATAACAATGTTCTGGCCCGTCATGTAATGGCTTGAAAAAAATTCGGCCTGATGCCAGGCTTATTTGCCGACCCTTGGTCTACATGCTCACATCTGAACCAAATTTGGGATGGATTATGAGAGTCTCGCCCTGAAGACATCCACATGCCAATATTCATTCAAAGTCATGGCACCACCTGCTTGCAACAGGAAATGACATGTTTTATGTTGTAATGTACTAGAAATATTAATAAAACTATTAATATTCTAAATTATTAATTATAATTTATAAATAAGGGGCACCAAACTGGAATCAGGGACCAGTAACCAAATATGAGCCAAACATGGTGAGTCCGTACACTGGCCGTGGCAAACAACTCTTACTACATTATACACAAATAATGACAAGCACTTCTTAAAATTATAATAGGATTTATTCAACTCAAGCATAGATAAATGATCAACAACATTATCAAGTAAACCACTATTAACTATTCTAAGCAAAATTAAATAAAGCCAATAAAACAAATCATACAAAAGCATACAACAAACTAGCAAGCGTGTGTGTGAGAGAGACAAAAGAGGGGGAGAGACTAACGTGGATCCGACCACGTGGGTGGTCGCAGATCCGGTTCAGAATGGGTTAGAGGCCAGCTGATTTTGAAATCAAGATGGCGGTTCAAACCATGTAATTTCAGGATGGTGGAAAATCTCTCTCACTTGAACTACAAAAAAATGGAGACGCACTCTGATGCAAGCCCGCTATGGGTTACAGGTGTGGTGAGCTTCTGGTTAGCACAGAGAAAAGCTGTATACAATATACCACAGTCTATCCTACAGCCACCAGCAGTGAATGTTCATTGCTGGCTTTGGATTAGATAGAATGTGAAATTGTATCTGTTCTCAGCCAACAGCAGCCAGCACCAAAAATCCTAATTACTGTTGCTACAACTTTATCAATGAGAGGGACGGTAGTGAACTTGCATTCAGCTACCGTGTTCCTTGGCTTGATAAAAATACTGACACGTTTCCACACAGTCATGGTACTGGTACCGGACACAAACAACGTGCCTAGGTAAATATCCCTTTGGAGTTTCTTAACAGAAATTCACCACATGAAGCTTGTACAAGTTACAATAACAAAGTTATAGAACTATCTGCTGGCCAGACATACTAAAGCTTCTTGCGTGTCACTTTTGGTAGCGAGTAGATGCGTCAGTCCTTTTAGGAAATCCAGCAGAGTTTTTCTCTCGGATCGGTTCTAACGATGCCGGTAGTTTCAACGGCAAAGCTGATTCTTCGGCGGCAGCAACAAGAATTCAGTGAAGTCGACGTTGGTTGAGAAGGTAGAACACAGAGGTGATCTTCTCTCAGTTAAGCACCAAGTTTATCCGTCTTCTTCTGCAGGCATTGTTGAGAATTATTTTAGAACATTGCAGCCTAAATTGTTATCATTAATTGCTAGAGCGAAGGTGGTCTGCATTGGCATCATTTAAAGTATTATTTTAGAGTGTAAAGTTAAGATCACAACGCTGAAACTCCATAGCTCTGAGAGTGTGTGGTCCTCTCTGTGTCTAGCTGCCCAGAGGCAGTAACAGTAGCACATGTGTGTGTAAGCAGGCATGTGTGTAAGGAGCAGGATGAGCACAGCAAGGCATCATCAAAAACCCCAGCAGAGGAAAATGTAGAAGCAGACAGTAATAAATGACAGCTGGGGAACAGTGTTAATTGGTAAAAACAACACAATAACAGAGGAAAAGAAGTTCATCATGAGGAAAGGAGGGGGCAAACCAGCCCGGAAGAGATATATATATAAGGCTGTCTGCAGACCATAGGATGGACTTCATCCTCCGACCTGCTGGGATGTTGTACGGACGTTGTATGTGTTCTGTTTTGGAATAAACTCTTTTGCACCGACTCTTGACCGTCTCCAGAGAAGTTTTTGATTGCAAATTTATTGACTATAATAGAAAGCTAATGGAGTATTTTTTGACAAAGTTTATTAAGTTGGTGAAGGTGGGGACCAGGCTTAACTGGCCCAGCCTGGTCGTACATATGACCCAACAGCATGAAACGTTATCTTGTGTATAACGGTTTCTTTAGGGATCCAAAATTGTGGTGGTAACACAAAGGGGAAAAAAAAAAGAGGTAGGAAAAAGAAGAAAACAAGAGTAGGTCGTCCAGAGAGTAAAATGTGTATTCAGGAACAAAGAAAGTTCAGCGCTGAGAAAGTTGTGTCTCCTATCACCGCTTGCACAGTCGTGGAAAAGACAATGTGCTGGCTGTGCTCAGGTCTACTTATACCAGAGGGGGGCACCTCGCCGGAGCGACCTGCAAGATTACAAGCGCAGCCAACAGTGGCTCTGCTTTTAGATCTGACTCACTATTTCGCAGGTAGGTGTGAAACAGGCTTTGGTGCCTGTTTACAGTCCTTTGTTTGATATAACTCCAATTCAGGCTTTTGGGAATTCAATAGGCTCGGGTCAGGCCTGTAGGATGTCACCAAGGAGGTAAGCCAGGGATTGAAAAGTGAAGCTGACCAAAGCCTGCACGGAGGGCTCCCTGTAGACCCAAAAATTAAGTCAAAACCCTTTGACACCCTGTCGCACTTAAGAATGTAGAATGTATCCATATTGATTAGATTCTAAACTGTCAGCGGATCTAAAATAAATATTCGTCCATCAGTGACGCTGTGTTGGTGTTTGGCAGGTGTTTGACGATCCGAGTCAGACAAACACACTGAGCCAAGAGACTTTTTGTTGGCGCAGCTATGCAGCTACCAGAATTACGGTGTTTCTGCCATTGTTCTATGTCACATGCTCGATCATGCGCAGTAGACGCTGGTGCCAACAGGAAGTAGCCCTGTAGTAGTATTTTATTGGTCCAAAACTGGCTTCACTGCTCTCCATTCAAATCAACGGGGTGGCTATGGAGGTCACAAGGCCCAGTCTTTGTTCTACCAGACTGTGAGGCCCAACAACAGTCACACCCCATATACATCTACATGCCAATATTCAGTTATTGTCATAGCGCCAAGTGCTATGTAGTGCCACAAAGGGGACACAGGAATTGATGATTAACACCTTGTGCAGTGTCTCAAGCGCATGGCAAATTCACAGCTGCAACTGCAGAGCAATGCGGCCGCCTCACACCTTGACACGTGCGAGGACCCGTCCAACGCTGCTTGCAGCTTTAATTGGTAATGAAGGTTTTTTAAAGGAATCCTCCCAACCCTGGGTAACCTGGGGAATTTGTTTAGGAGTACTGTGCATAGATGTGGTGTCAGAATAATTGAAAAACTTATTTCTTGACTGATTCAGCATATTTGGATGACAATGACGATGCTAATCCAACACATTTTTGTAGTATGCTGTGTTGATTCTGACTTAAGCCTAGTTCACACTACACGATTTTTAGCCGGATTTGCCACTCGGCGAGCAGTTTCAGCAACAGCTGATTTCTGACTCACGATGTCAGAAACAATTCCTGTACAATAAACCAGTAATTCTGTCTCTAATCAGCCATTCACATAATCACATTATTTATTCACCATTCTCTATTTCAGTGCTGTTCATACCGTTATATTGTCCTATTGTAGATACTGTATACCAATCCACCTACCTCAAGTCATTACTCCTGCGCAAACTACTTATTTATTCCAGCATCCTTTGCACTATGCTTCATTGCACTGCGTACATGTATGCATGTATATGTACCTGTATATCACATCTGCCTCCGACATGTACATACTCCTGCATCCTTTGCACTCTGCTCACTGCACTATTTGTCAGTATGTCTATATTGTTTTTGTTCATAGCTTCTGTAGTGTACTACACAACGCTGAAAGTCGTGTAGGGTTTAAGAGCACACAAAATCACGGAAGTTGGAAGTATTAGTTTATCCAACTTCCTGTCAGAACCAGCTAAATCCAACATGCTAAATCCAAGGGTATACTGGGAAATGTAGGAAAATTTTGTAAGGTTGCTACACAAGTTGGGTCCAGTGGAGTGTTTTTTCCAAACACCATTTAATCAAACATATACTTTATTTATTTGATGCAAATCAGTCATTGCACTTGTCACTTCACTTTCGTCCAATTGTCATTCCACAACAAAAATTAATCCACAATCAACATGAATGTCAACAAAACCACAAGAAGCAACCAAACAGCAATCTTCAGAGGTTATGGTACACATGAAGCCACAAGTTTCAACTCCTTACACAGGAGCACACTAGCTTATTATACTTGCAGAAGGCTCGCAACATCAGGTCTAATACTGTAACCAGTTCTGAAAATGGAGGTCAGATGAACATAGTATAGTCTAAGGAGAAAGCAACTGTTATGATTACATTTCTAATAAGTCATATAATTGAGAGCTTTACAGATTTTATAATAATAATCCAAATTCAAAAGGCCCACTTAGTAGCTTTTTGGAGCTTTCAAGCATAATATTTAAGTGAATGGAGCTGGCTCAGGTGTCGTCACATGGCCTTGTGACTTCACCTTATTTTTGACTTGATATCAGGTCTATTTCATATGAAAGATTTAAGCTCATTAACTTTAAAGTTTAGGACAATGTCTTTGAACTTGACTCAGAACGTCATTGTCAAAACTTAAGATACCAGTATTGAGTAGCGTAATGGCACTGCATGTAGTTAAGTCCCTAGTTTAAGTAAATTTCCCAGTAGCGCTTGGGTTGCGTAGCTTAAATCATGTAGCAGTAGTGTTGCTGTACCCTCGTCTCTTCCAATGAAGGATCACCTGTAGCTTCAGGAGCAACATCTTCAAGCAGTTTTCCCAAATCTGCCTGTGATTTACAAAACAATGACTTGTCCAACCTCTTGTTTGTTTTGATTTTCTGACTCGTGGTCGAGGATTTAGGTTGATATTTTGGTCAGTACTGACTGAACACTTGTCAGTACTGACCAAAATATCATCATCGTGACTGATGTTTATCTGTGTATGACCCGAGCAAACACCGTTAGCTGAAGAAGACTTTGAGATGTGGATGAAAGGTCTGAGAAGCTAGTAAGTGGACCGTTGAACTTTTATTTTGTTGCACATGGTGTTCTCATAGGTCGAGAATGACCTTTCGTGCTTTTTCCCTTCATAACAATACAATTTTCCATACACTTTCACTGCACTAATGTAAATACATGAATAATTCTCATTGGCAGAGCAGAGCACTTAATTATAATCTGTGATCAAGCGCCAAAAAAAAAAAGACTTCACATTAACCTTAATAATAAATCAATCAAACACAAATGTCTAAAGCAAGAAGTGCATGTTGAAGTAAAGCTGATGCAGACAGGGCAACACATGGAACTGGCCCTTCCCTTCTGCTTACACCAGGAAAGGTTTCTGGACCTGTGGCTTGATCAGTCTCTTGACTCAGTACTCCCTGTCCACCTCAGAACACGCTGCAGTCCAGACAAGCTCACCCTCTTCCTCTGCTTTCAAACAGGCAGGTTGTCTTAGCAACCAGGTCCGTTTTATCCAGCAGCCTGGTGACTGGTGTTTGGGCTCCAGAGGGCTGGGTGGGGCCATGCTCCCCTGATCTGTGCCATGGACGATGCAGCGTCTGGGATCATAGTGTTCATCATAGTGGTCTACGCCCCCCCTGTCAGTCTCCGCTCCAGCCGGTCCAATTTGGCCAGGTTTTCCTTCAGAAGTTTGGAACCGGGGCTCAGATGTAGGGCTCGCTGGTAGTACATCCTGGCTGCCGCATAGTCTCCCTGCATGCATACACGCACACACACACACACACACACACACAAAACAATACACACATTACTATGTGTTAAATCCAGTACTACCTGGGGCTGTTGCTCTGTCAAAAGCTTATAACTGCTGTTTAATTCCATTTAAATGAGGATCTAAATTCATGACCAGTGAAAACTAGTCAAAAGCATGACGTTGATGACAGATGAAGAAGAGCTCAAAGACAACTTGAGACTGAAAGACTGAAAAATGCTAGACTGCTTCCAAGAGCCTGACAGGCTGAGTATGTGACTGATGGCTACATCCACACTACTACATTTTTGTTTTAAAACGGAGACTTTTTGCTACGTTTGCACCTCCCGTCCAGACTAAAACGGCAAATCAGAAGACCTAAAACAGAGAAGTTTAAAATGCTGCCAACAAAAATACGTAAAACAGTAATGAATGTGTAAGAATTTTTGAAAGTGCAGTAGCATCTATGTACATTTAGTGCAGGTGCCGACCATTTAAGGAGGTAGGTCAGATTGTATGCGTAAATGGTATGACAACAATAAAAATCACGATATACAAAATATAGTATATATATAAATAAATAAAAAGTACAGAGATCTATTTTGTGCAAGTTGAGTTCTAATTACAGAGGTAAGTCAGGTGGTGTGCAAAACAGTATGGCAGTAGTGGTGGGAAGAATGACATTTGAGTATACTTGTGCAGATGGAATGGAGCAAAGGAGCTTAAAACAGATGAGGCAGCGGTACAGGTAAAACTGTGCAACTAAGAAAGGGACGTGACAGAGCAATTTTAGTGTGCAAAAACAGTCCGTGAGTGGTGGAGGAGACCTAGCAAGTACAGAGATCGGACAAGAGTTCAGAAAGACGTGCTTTAAAGGGAGTGAGAGGGATGAGGGTCTCTAGCTTGAGGGTTTTTTGTAACTCATTAAGGTCGTTGCCAGCGGAGAACTTGGTGGCGACGTAAGGTGGTATGGGGTTTTGGGGTGACCAGAGAGATGTACCTGCTTGAGCTCGGGCTGCGGGTGGGTAATGATATAGACACCAGTGAGCGTAGGTATTGGGGGGCTCTGCCTAGCAAGCACTTGCAAATAAGTTGGTACCAGTGAGTAAGGCAAGGAGTGTGTAACAACGGCCAGCCAATTAATGCGTAGAGGTCGCAGTGGTGGGTATTAAATGGGGCGCCGGTAACGATGGCACTGTGGTAGACCACATCAAGTTTTTTCAGGAGAGAGTTTGAGGCAGATCTGTTGATGACATCACTGAAATCTAGCATGGGTAGAACAGTCATTCTTACCAAGGCAAGTTTGGCAGCTTGAGTGAAGGAGGCCCTCTTGCGGAATAGGAAACTGATTCTGGACTTAATTTTAGATTGAAGGTGGTTTATGTGGGGCTGGAAAGAGAGGGAACTGTCTATCCAAACACATAAGTGTCCACATATTCTAATTCTGACCCATCTAGCGTTGTGATGCTAGTCAGACGAGCCGGTGTGGGAAGAGATCGGCTGAAAAGCATACACTTAGTTTAGTAATAGATGGAGGTTTCGGAAAGGAGTACAGAATGGAATTAAAGCTCTCCTGGAGGTTTGATAACACAGTGTACAGTGATGGGCCGGATGTATAGAGGATGGTGTCGTCCGCATAGGCAAGCGCAACATCATTGATATACAGAGAGAATAGAGTCGGCCCAAGAATTGCACCCTACGGCACCCCCATAGAGACAGCCATAGGTCCAGACAGCAGCCCCTCTGATTTAACACACCTATCGGAGAAGCAGTTAGTGAACCAGGCGAGGCAATCATCTAAGAAACCAAGGCTATTGAGTCTGATGATCAGAATGTGATGGTTGACAGAGTCAAAGGCTTTAGACAGATCAATGAAAATGTTTGCACAATAATAATTTTTTTATCTATGATGTCATTTAGGACCTTAAGGGTGGCTGTAGTGCACCCATGACCAGCACGGAAACCGGATTGCATGGGGAAAGGGTACGGTGGGATTCAAGATAGTGGGTAATCTGTTTGTTGACTAGGGTTTCAAAGACTTTGGAAAGACAGGGTAGGATAGATATAGGACGGTAGCAGTTTGGGTCAAGGGTTTCTCCCCCTTTAAAGAGGGGAATGACCGGGGATTTCTGAAGATGAGAGAGACAGGTTGAACAGGGTGGTAATGGGGGTCGCAATAATATCTGCAGATAATTTTAGGAAAGAGGGGTCCAGATTATCTAGCCCAGCTGATTTGTAGGGGTCAACATTGTGTAACTCTCTCAACACATCAGCTGTCTGGATAGGGGTGAAGGAGAAGCAGGGGGGAGGGCTTGGGCGTAAAACTGCAGGGGGTGCAGAGCCGTTGGCTGGGGAGGGGGTAGCCAGGTGGAAAGCATGAACAGTTTCAGCAAAAAGACAGTGTTCCCTGATTTGAGAGCAGTGGGCAGCTGGGAGGAGGGGCTCTTGTTTTCTAATTAAATAAAATACCAAAAATTAAAATGGTTTCCATCACCACAGTCACTTTGTATTTTCCACCTTGTTGTTGGTCCATGCAAAAAAACTCTGGTGTGGTTCTTCGCCATTGCTATTCTTCTTTTCCTAACCCTTCAACTGAATTAGCTACCCCAGGCTATAAGTCACTAGATGTGTTGTGAAAGTGATTCCCACTGCAATTCCATGGCCAAAATGTTAAACAACATGAAAATAACTCCGGCAAAGGTTCCTTCCTCATTACCTCACAAAAACAAAAACAACAAAGATTCTCACTGCAATATAGTGATGATGGAGAAGGAGTATGGCCAGAACATGTTTATGTTCTTGCATGTTGTGTGATGATGTTGCATGATTTTAATGTGCAAAATGTTCCATAATACCCTTGAACCCTTTGGTATTGTGAGCTAAGCATGTTGGATTGCTTTTAAGAAAATCAAACAACTCAAAACTGTTGTTTCAATTATCACAGTATGGATAAGTAAGTGTTTGTGTAGTTTGCGTTTAGAAACTGAAAATTGTTTGCTACCTTAATGTGCTGAATCCCTCCCATGTTCATCCAGGCCTGGGACTGGTCAGGTTTGAGTTCCACAGCAAGCTTGTAGCTCTGGTAGGAAAAAACAAAAACATTGTGGTCAGTTTTATATCTTATCAGACCGTCACGACCGTCCACTCAAGGAACACAATGCGTTCTGATCCCAGCTAAGAAACTAAGGAGAGAGCACATATCCAAAAACCGTTAAAAATCATCCAAATCACATTCAGAGGTGGTTCAGGAAGCATGTAGACACACTAGACAACCTTCATCTGCATGAACGGAAATATGTGTACTGTTCCAATGAAGAAAAGTGCAACTCAGAACAGGGTGAAAGACGGATGTAGATACAAACATTGGGGAGATGATATATGCATTGCTGTATACAGTATATGAGGTAGAGGGGAAAACTGACCACAAGTGGTCACTGGAGACAGATTTGAAAGCATGACACATGACACAGATGCATGTACAACTGCAATCAGTCTTTCTGTATCTGGATAAACTGCATACAGATAACCTGAGCTATATCAAATCTTGTTTAAAATGGATCAACCTCAAACAGCCCTATAGCTGAATAGTAATTGTTTTATTTTATTTAACCTTTATTTAACCAGATTTAACCATTTAATGGATCCCACAGTGAATTGGACTTCAGGCTTACTGAATTGGGATGATGGGTTAAAGAACTGCTACATGATTCCAGGACACCATTTTACTTACTATTGTTTGATATAGTATATAATAGTACTCCATAGTAATGTATGTATGTTTATGATTTTAATAAAAAATTATTACTGACACTGCATAACTTACATGTGTTATAAAATGTGAAGCACTGCAGTGTGAAGCATAAAAATAGTCTTCAGGTAGCATTTAGCGTGAGTAAAACACAAGCTGTAGAAAGCTGGACTTATTCAAAATAAGCGGATTTATTCTGTCAGACGAGTGCGAGAGTTTTGCTGTTGCTGCTCACTGACTCTGAAACAAGTCTCTGTGTTTACTCAGAAAGGAATTCAGATGCGTTTTTCAGTAATCTGTCAGAACAGACGTGCTCAATGCTTGCTACAGTAACTAGCACTCTGAATCTATTACCTATTCCAGTATTCACTTACATATCATTCATGTTATTTACTTATGTTATTAACCTTATTGCAGCTGTGTTTACAGTCTGTTCATCACACCTTTGAAATCAAACCTGAATGCTGAAATACGTTCAGTAAACAAGAATGAAAACAGAAAAACGGACAATCCATCCATAAAACGGTGCTTCAAACGGTTTCTCTGTCTGTTCTGGTGTTTGTCTTGCCCTTTCAGGACTGCTCTTTTTAAAGCTGCAGTAATCAGAAATGGCCTCTTTGGCTCTTCCTGTTTTGTTTCCACACCATCTTTCCCACAGTAATCTCTCTTTGGTTTGTCTGCTTTCTCTTTTCAAGCCTTTTTCTCAGGAAGTCAATCAAAGCTTCCTGCAGGAGAAATGCCTTCCAAAAACTTTCTTCATGCATGAATCTAAGCGATGGGTCTTCTGACAAGTGTGCCAACTGATTTGTCTGAATGGTAACTCCCAAAGTGACAGCAAAGCCTATGATAACAAAAAAATAGCCACGGGTTCGGGTCTCAAATTCAGCAGCACTTGGGTGTGTGTATATATACACTGCTCAAAAAAATAAAGGGAACACTTAAACAACACAATGTAACTCCAAGTCAATCACACTCATGTGAAATCAAACTGTCCACTTAGGAATCAACACTGATGGACAATCAATTTCACATGCTGTTGTGCAAATGGAATAGACAACAGGTGGAAATTATAGGCAATTAGCAAGACACCCCCAATAAAGGAGTGGTTCTGCAGGTGGTGACCACAGACCACTTCTCAGGTTTGCTGTGTCTGTCAACGTAGTGTCCAGAGCATGGAGGCGCTACCAGGAGACAGGCCAGTACATCAGGAGACGTGGAGTAGGCTGTAGGAGGGCAACAACCCAGCAGCAGGACCGCTACCTCCACCTTTGTGCAAGGAGGAGCAGGAGGAGCACTGCCAGAGCCCTGCAAAATGACCTCCAGCAGGCCACAAATGTGCATGTGTCTGCTCAAACGGTCAGAAACAGACTCCATGAGGGTGGTACGAGGGCCCGAGGTCCACAGGTGGGGGTTGTGCTTACAGCCCAACACCGTGCAGGACGTTTGGCATTTGCCAGAGAACACCAAGATTGGCAAATTCGTCACTGGCGCCCTGTGCTTTCACAGATGAAAGCAGGTTCACACTGAGCACATGTGACAGACGTGACAGAGTCTGGAGACACCGTGGAGAACGTTCTGCTGCCTGCAACATCCTCCAGCATGACCGGTTTGGCGGTGGGTCAGTAATGGTGTGGTGTGGCATTTCTTTGGGGGGCCGCACAGCCCTCCATGTGCTCGCCAGAGGTAGCCTGACTGCCATTAGGTACCATGATGAGATACTCAGACCACCTGTGAGACCATATGCTGGTGCGGTTGGCCCTGGGTTCCTCCTAATGCAAGACAATGCTAGACCTCATGTGGCTGGAGTGTGTCAGCAGTTCCTACAAGAAGAAGGCATTGATGCTATGGACCGGCCCGCCCGTTCCCCAGACCTGAATCCAATTGAACACATCTGGGACATCATGTCTCGCTCCATCCACCAACGCCACGTTGCACCACAGACTGTCCAGGAGTTGGCCCTCAGGAGACCATCCGCCACCTCATCAGGAGCATGCCCAGGCATTGTAGGGAGGTCATACAGGCACGTGGAGGCCACACACACTACTGAGCCTCATTTTGACTTGTTTTAAGGACATTACATCAAAGTTGGATCGGCCTGTAGTGTGGTTTTCCACTTTGATTTTGAGTGTGACTCCAAATCCAGACCTCCATGGGTTGATAAATTTGTTTTCCATTGATAATTAGGGCCCGAGCACGACCGTGCGAGATCCCTATTGAATTTGTAAAGATTTTTTTTTTGTTTTTTTTCTGCAAAGTAAGCTCCATTTTGGGGACCTGGTTTCGCGCATGGGCGTGGCAAAATGACTTGCTAGCGCCACCTAGAAAATTGGAAAAAATTAGCCCCTCGTTCACGTTCAACCTACATGCACGAAATTTTCTGGGGACATGTATCGTATCAAGACGCACAAAAAAGCCTCAAGAACCCATACCCTAAACTCAACAGGAAGTCGGCCATTTTGAATTTTACGGCCATTTTTGGATGATTTACACACTTTGTACTTTAACGAACTCCTCCTAGGGATTTAGTCTGACCGACTTCAAATTTCTGCTGTGCCTTCTAAAGGCATTGACGATGAAAAGTTGTTCTATTTGCGAGTTTTCGTGGCGTGTCTGTGGCGTCCATGATTCGCCATGAAACAGGAAGTTGTTGTACCTTCAGTGTACATGCTCACATCTGGACCAAACTGTACATGTAGGATGAGAGTCCCGCCCTGAACACATGTACATGGCGACATCCACCCACAGTCATAGCGCCACCTGCTGGCAACAGGAAGTGACTTTTAACGAAGCAGCCCCCGCCACACGTTTCACCTACGTGCACGAATTTTCTGTGGTGCGTGTATCTTGTCCAGATGCACAAAAAAGTATCTTGAAGCCATAGCCTAAACACCAACAGGAAGTCGGCCATTTTTAATTTTACGGCCATTTTTGGATGATTTACACACTTCGTACTTTAACGAACTCCTCCTAGGGATTTGGTCCGACCGACTTCAAATTTGTGCTGTGCCTTCTAAAGGCATTGAAGATGAAAAGTTGTGCTATTTGCGAGTTTTCGTCAATGGGCGTGTCCGTGGCGTAGCGTCAAAGATCAACTCTTCGCCATGACACAGGAAGTTGTTGTAACTTCAGTGTACATGCTCACATCTGCACCAAACTGTACATGTAGTATGAGAGTCCCGCCCTGAACACATGTACATGCTGACATTCACCCACAGTCATAGCGCCACCTGCTGGCAACAGTAATTGACCTTTAATGAAGCAGCCCCCGCTGCACGTTTGACCTACATGTACGAATTATCTGTGGTACGTGTATCATGTCCAGACGTACCAAAAAGCCTCTTGGAGCGATGCCCTAAAACCAATAGGAAGTCGGCCATTTTGAATTTTATGTCAAATTTTGGATGATTTACACAAATGATGATTCACACACTCTGCATACTTTAACGAACTCCTCCTAGGGATTTAGTCTGACCGACTTCAAATTTCTGCTGTGCCTTCTAAAGGCATTGAAGATGAAAAGTTGTGCTATCTGTGAGTTTTCGTCAATGGCCATATCCGTGGCGTGGCGTCAAAGATCAACTCTTCGCCATGACACAGGAAGTTGTTGTAACTTCAGTGTACATGCTCACATCTGAACCAAACTTTACGTGCTTGATAACTCTCCCACCCCGCAGACATCTACACACCAATACCGATTTATATTCATAGCGGCAACTGCTATGTAGCTCCACATAGGGGACACAGGAAGTGACATATAGCACCTTCATGCAGCGTCGGAACCGCGTAGCAAATTCACAGCCGCACCGGCAGAGCTCCAGAATATGCAACTCGGCCGGCTCACACCCGGACGCGCTACAAGTGCGAGGGCCCGCCCAACGCTGCTTGCAGCTTTAATTTTTGTGTGATTTTGTTGACAGCACATTCAACTATGTAAAGAAAGGAGTATTTAATGAGATTATTTCATTCATTCAGATTTAGGATTTGTTATTTTAGTGTTCCCTTTATTTTTTTGAGCAGTGTATATATATATATATATATATATATATACACACACACACTCTCCACAATACCACTGTTAGGTTCATTTAACGGAAACAACAAGAGATTGTCTAGATTTACCGGTGTAACCTGCATGGCTACAAGAGAGGAAAAGGGAAAGAAGTGCTGACTCACGTTAACTTTGAAGCGCTTGTTAAATCCACTCGTTAAGTCCAAATTTGTCCGTTCCTTGATTATTTATCTTCCTTTAGTCTGTAAGGGTCCACCCATCAAAAGAATCAAAACAGCTTTTCAGAAAAATTTATCCAAGTTGTGAATCCTGTCATGTGAAG